TGTCTTTTTGTCCATGTCTCTGTCTCTTGTCTTTTTGTCCATGTCTCTGTCTCCTGTCTTTTTGTCCACGTCTCTGTCTCTTGTCTTTTTGTCCATATCTCTGTCTCCTGTCTTTTTGTCCATGTCTCTGTCTCCTGTCTTTTGGTCCATGTCTCTGTCTCTTGTCTTTTCGTCCATGTTTCTGTCTACTGTCTTTTTGTCCATGTCTCTGTCTCCTGTCTTTTTGTCCATGTCTCTGTCTCCTGTCTTTTCGTCCATGTTTCTGTCTCCTGTCTTTTCATCCATGTCTTTGTCTCCTGTCTTTTCGTCCATGTCTCTGTCTTTTTGTCCATGTCTCTGTCTCCTGTCTTTTTGTCCATGTCTCTGTCTCCAGACCATACAACATAGGATTCAAGGTTCTTTATTTGTCGTGCACATCACATGTGGTGCATGTGGTGGAACTAAATTGTGTGCACGGCCATTAATAAACCTTGGCCTGCCTCAGTACCTGCAGCTGGATTTAAAGGTCCATGTAAACCAGCAGAACCCGTCCAGGTCCACAGAGTTGGAGCAGATTTGTCCTCACAGTCTCCAACAGGTGTGGCTGAGAGTTCCTCCATGAACTTGCTGTAGAACCCACAGCTCGGTGCACGTTTCTCCTCCAGAGCTCAGGATCTTAGCAGGACACTTACCCATCCTGTACTCTGTAGACCGCACAGCACTCTGGGATGAGTCCTCTCATCATCAGGGCTTTCTTCAGCGAGTCCCTCACAGTCATCCCACAGCGGGCTGGCACCTGAACACACCACAACACCATCCCATGAACCAACACAGAAGAGACAACTCTCCAGTCTGGATGGTTCAATTGGTACCAGTTAGACTGATGGAAAACATGTTTAAAGATTGTCCTGCTTCTCTGTGCACATCAGAGGGACACTGCGTCAGAAAGACCATGAGCTGGACTCCAAAACCCTCTTCATACCACACCAGCTTCATTACGGGTAGAGCCCGACCGATTCATCAGCAGGGTCAATATTTTAAGCCTTTAGGGTTCTATCACATATCATCATTCTATCATCCATCATCATTCTATCATCATTCTATCATCCATCATCATTTATCATCCATCATCATTCTATCATCTATCATCATTCTATCATCCATCATCATTCTATCACATATCATCATTCTATCATCCATCATCATTCTATCATCCATCATCATTCTATCATCCATCATCATTCTATCATCCATCATCATTCTATCATCCATCATCATTCTATCATCCATCATCATTCTATCATCATCATCATTCTATCATCATCATCATTCTATCATCCATCATGATTCTATCATCCATCATGATTCTATCATCCATCATCATTCTATCATCCATCATCATTCTATCATC